AAAGAGTGGAGCGAGTTTACTTAAAACAGCTACTCAGCTTTCTAGTACTTTCCATGTACCAATTCTTCCACGAGGACAGACCTCTCTGTTTCAGACAGAAGCTGTAAGTTGCAGAGCAAGCAATACTCTGCTTGCTCTTTAACACACAGTTTCATCTGGAAGTTTCAGCAGAACCAGCTTTAGTAATTTTAAGTTGTTCACAGCCATACACAGTTTCAGGTAGTCATGACCACATTTAAGAACCCTGTTAGTCTTGAGAAACACTAAGCTAGTTTGCCAAGTGCTCCCTCCAGCAAGCCGGCAGAGCCGTGCGTGGCTGCAGCCTCCGTCTGCAGAGCCACGGTGCTCTTGAGCAAGAGAGAAGTTACCTTGTCACTCCAGGCACCCCCTTCGTTAGCACTATTATCGTGCCTACACCAAATGATCATGTGAAATAGCTGCAGGCAGGTCCGGCAGCACTGTCAACAGGAAGGGAATGCCCAACTGATCCGTCTGCCTCCTGAGGCATGAACCGCTTCCCCCAACATCAGCGCAAGTCAGCGGTGATGTCCAGGGTGCCCATCACGTGCTGTCCCTGCGTGGCTGGGTGGGAGAGCCACCTCCCGTGGACCCCCTCACGCAGCTTTGATCTTCATCAGGCAGTAAGCAGAAAAGAGCTTACAGACCCGGAGCTGCCATCACAAATCCGAGACCCATAGTGTTACCAAGTCATCATCTCAGGGCTAGGAAGAAGCCTTTAGGGAAGGATTTGAAGCCCTTCAGCTCTTCCCCAAGGCACAGCAGATGCAGCATGACACCATAAGATGTCACCTTGGGCCCCAAAAAGCCAAGACACCCCCCACGCACAGATGGGGAAAAGACACACAGCTCTGTGCCTTCCCCATGGGCACTGCCGGGGGCACACAGCCCCTCAGCGGGTACTTTTTAGCCTCGGTGCTCCCCAGGGCCAGGAGCCAAGGGCCCCAAGGATGGAGCCAGCTCCGAGCCCAGCCTCCACCCTCCATCCCTGGGAGGGCTGCAAAGTGCCACCCGAGGCAAGGGCTGCAGAGCCCCTGGGGACGCAAGGGGCAGCCTTGGGGGGTCCCCCCTGGCCCCC